AATGCAATACGTCGTCTGATCTCTTGACTGCTGCGTCCGTGAGTGTTGATAGTTGATCCAAGAAGAATGAAGTCCTTGACAACTTCAATCTTTTCTCCGTTGATAAGAAAGTTGTTTATTGGTCCAGTGTTGAGGATTTTTGTTTTCTTGGCATTGAGATGCAATCCATACTGAAGGCTGTGCTGTTTGATCTTCATCAGTAAATGTTTCAAGTCCTCTTCACTTTCAGCAAGCAAGGTTGTTATCATCTACATATCGCAGGTTGTTAATGAGTCTTCCTCCAATCCTGATGCCACGTTTTTCTTCATAGAACCCAGTTTCTCGTATTATTTGCTCAGCATACAGGTTGAATAAGTATGGTGAAAGAACACAACCTTGTTGAACACCTTTCCCAATTTTAAAACATTCAGTGTTCCCATGTTCTGTTCAAACAACTGCTTCTTGGTCCAGGTACAGATTCCTCAGAAGTACAATTAAACAATGTTGTCCATAGCTTGTCATGATCCACACAATCGAAAGCCTTTGCGTAGTCAATAAAGCATGGGTAAATATCTTTCTGATATTCTTTGCTTTCAGCCAAGATCTATCGGACATCAGCAATGACATCTTTCGTTCCACAGCCTCTTCTGAATCCAGCTTGAACCTTTGGAAGTTCTCTGTCAATATATGATTGTAGCCATTTCTGTATTACCTTTAGCAAAACTTGACTCGCATGGGATATCTAAGAGATTGTCCCATGGTTCCGCATTCCGTTGGGTCACCTCTCTTTGGAATGGGCACAAATATGGATCTCTTCCAATCAATCAGCCAGATAGTTGTCTTCCAAATTTCTTGGCAGAGATGAGTGAGTGCCTCTTATGCTGCCTCACTTCATTGAAAGATTTCAATTTTCATTCCACCAATTCCTGGTTCTTTTATTCCATCAATTGCCTTGTTCTTTGCCAATTCCTTCAATGCACTTTGGACTTCCTCCCTGTGTATCAATGGCTCTTGATCATATGGTACCTCTTGAAATGGTTGAACATTAATTATTTCCTTTTGGTACAATGACTCTGTGTATTCCTTCTATCTTCTCTTGATTCATTCTGCATCATTCAATAATTTGCCCAGAGAATCTTTTAATAACGAAAGTCGAGGCTTGAAATTTTCCTTCAGTTTCCCCAGCTTGAGAAATGCTATCCGTGTTCTTCCTTTTTGGTTTTCTGATTCCAAATCTTTGCATATTTTATTAAAGTATTTGGCTTTATCTTCTTGAGCTGATCTTTGAAATTTTCTGTTCAGCTCTTGGACCTCCTCAATTCTTCATTTGCTTTAGCATCTCTATGCTGGAGAGCAAGTTTCAGAGTTTCTTCTGATATCCGTTTTGACCTTTTCCTTCTTTCCTGTCTTCTTAATGACTTATTTTTCTCTTCACGTATGGTTTTCTTGATGTCATCCCACAACTCTCCTGGTCTTCGGGCTTTAGTGTTCAATGTATCAAATCTGTTCTTCAGATGATCTCTAAATTCAGGTGGGATAAATTCAAGGTCATATTTTGGTTCTCGTGTACTTGTTTTCATTTTCTTCAGCTTCAGTTTGAA